CGGCCCCCAACGAAGCCCCGTCCCGCCCCAGCGCCTGAGTTTATCCCGGAATAACCTGTTGGAGGCGACCGCCCGGCGCCCCCAACCCCGGCGGCTCTCCTGAGCCCCCGGCTCTTGCTTATCTGCGCCAGGACACTCCTCCTACACCAGAGGTCGCTTCCGACCTCCCTTTCCCGCACGCAAGTCTCTCTTGCCCTAACCGACCGACAGCAGGCGGGCCCGGGACAAGCAGTTGCTCAGGTAACCCAGGCCTGCGGCGGCGGCGGCTACAGCTGCTACCCAGCCCCTCCGGGCCGCTGTCCTGCTCCACTCGCCTCAGCTCTGCAGCTGGGCTGGACAGAGGCTCCCAGCCCAACGATGATCACCCGGGAGCTGCCAGAGGCGACAACAGCCCGGTCCAGTTCGGCCCGGGGCGCACTCCCAGCCCCCTATTCCAGGCAGGCTTTCCAGGCTCCGCCCTACCTCCCTGTTTCGCTGCCAACCGGTTTCCGTCTCTCTGCAGCTTGAGAACCCTCGCTCTTCCCCCATGCGCAGCGGCCCCTGGCGGGTAAATCCGGGTGCTGCAGGCAGAACTCGAGCTTCTGGGAGGCCCTGCCCCTTTGCAGAGGGTTGAGGAGTGAAGCGAGAACCCGCCCAGGGGGAGGCCCCTTTGAGTCCTGCAAATGTTTTCAGTGAAAATGATGCCATAAAGCAAAATGAAATGTCTGACCAATTCTCTTATACATCCCTTAAAATTCAAGCTGGATCCCATCCACCTTCCCCGGCCGCTTCCACCCACAAGCTGAGTCGCACGCGCTCCCTTAACTTTCACCACCCATTTTCCTACCGCCCTTCACTGGTTTCTCCCTACATCTCACTCTCCCAGCTCTGGGTGTCACTTGGAGGAGTGTTCAGCGACTTGAAAATGAGTGCCCCAATGAAAAGAGAGCCCCGCCTGGGCCTTCTTCAACACTTCCTGTTCCCTTCTCAAGCATGCTGTCAGCAAATCTTTACTGAAACCTGTTCTGTGCCCTACCCTGTCCTTGGCACTGGAGGCAGGGGAAGGGATTAGACCCAGTCCCTCCTCTGGCAATACTAGGCCAGCTACCTGTTCTGAGCAAGCCCTCTGAAGACTGGGAACAAGGATTTGCCCAACAGCTGCTTGGCTTAAGGGTTAGGCTGTTGATATAAAAATACATGTCTAACGTCATCTACTACCACTCTTCCCACTCTTATTAAGCTCCAGTCACACTGACCTTCTTTAAGTTCCTCAGACACATAGAATTTCCTGCCAACTCACAGCCTATGTATTGGCTGTTGCCTGAAACACTTGTTCCTGAGCTCCTCATTTACCTGACTTCTCATTCTTCAGGATACAGTTCAGGATTTCCTCTTCAGACTCCTACTTTGACCACCTCATCAAGGTCAATCTGTGGCCAGAATCAAACTGAGGTTGGAGCCAATAGTGAAACTGTGGTTTGAGAATAAAACATCTTTACGTGACAACTAGCCCATTTCCAGTGTCCCCTGATGCATCATGCAAAGTTTACGGCTCGTTCCTTTCTCTGGGCGCTCATAGCAGAGCACTGTCTAATCTGTGTTACTGTAAGCCATGCACATGTCTCTCTCCCCTCATAGCAATGTGCATTTTCAAAAGTTTTGCCTCTGCGACCCCAGGACCCAGTCATAAACCTGCATAGAATAGGTACTCAGTAAAAGCTGGTCAACATGAGTTCATTCATTTGATCATTCAAATATTTATTGAGTAACAGCTAAATGCTGGAAAATTGACCAGAAAAGAAGTCCAACTATTGACCTAAGTTCTACTAGACCTATGCTCTGAGACAGGTGTTTGTAAACTCAGATGGCAAGGGAAGCATACAAAAAGGGCACGGGGCAGCATCCTCTGACCTCTTCTAACTTCACAAGGGGGATGGGGAATGCAGAACAACATCAACATCTCAAGGCTGATTCCTATGAGACAGAGGTCAGACATGTCGCCATCCTCCAGCCTCTCTGCACATCTTTTCACCAGTTCTGACATCAGCCATCCCTCCCATATGACTCTCTACTTCACTGCTGGTTCAATAATTCATTGCAGTGGCCACAAAGAACTCACAGGCAATACTCACAATTACAGGATTTATTAGGGAAGTAACAGGTTACAATTCAGGATTAAGAACACTCAGTATACACTTTGATCAGGACAGCCTCTCAACTATGCCTGAAGGCAGGTTTCCCTCTCTGGCCCCTGGGCCTTCCACCTGGCCTCTACCCTGCTCAGGTAAATATCACAAAGCCCTTTTAACTGTGCATCTGCTTCAGCCATCTCCCTGCTGTCTCTCTGCCTTCTCAGTGCAGGGATCTTGAGTCCAAGGAGATATTCCACACCCAGCTCTTCTCTCTTGATGACAGTGAGATCCCCCTTTCTGCATCTGGGATGGCTTATTTTAAGTCTAATGTGATGACAAAACTGACCAATCCCCATGTTATGATTCCATATACCTTACTTCCCTGGTTCTGCCCCTGCAAAGATGCCATGTACCTTATTTACATTATTAGCAAGCTATCCAATCCCCTTGGTGGGCCACAAGCACATCATATTTGCATAGTTCCACCCAGTCATAGGGTGGGAGTCACAAAGACCATGGCTAGAAGAGCCATATTAAGTAATTCTTAGATAACGCAAATAGATAATGCAACTGAGAGAAGTAGGTGGGGGATGGTGGAACTGTGGCACACTGGGGAGCAGGTAGGAAGGTAGACCAAATATTGTCAGATCTTCTTTAGGAAAAGATAGAAATCTAGATTTTTATGTGGCAGCTCCAGTTTTTTTATATTAGTAATTAATTTTTTAAATTATAAACCCTATACAGCTCACGTAAAACACATTTGCAGCCCAAATACTCAGATGGCCTAATCCAACCCACCTGTTTGGTTAAGAAAACACACAAGACAAAAGTAAAGCATGATTAACACAACTTCCCTTAAATTCGACTGCATCTTTCTCTTAGCTACAACATGATTTCTTTGGGGTATGGGCACATAGCCCATTTTCTAGAAAGAGCCTGGATCTTGGAGACAGGAAGCCAGTGTCTGTTACCAGTTCACGCCAAGACCTTGAACAATCATTTAACCTCTCGAAGCCTGTTCCATTTCCTGTGAAGTTAAAATGGTGCCTGGAGCCAAAGCCATGGCCTGAACAACAGGAGGAACATTCTAGTCTCCTGTTCATGATATAAGGAGCTGTGGTGGTGCAGTGGTTAAGGCATTTGGCTGCTAGCCAAAAGGTTAGTGGCTTGAACCCTCCAGCTGCTCTGCAGGAGATAGATGAAGCAGTCTGCTTCCCTAAAGATTTACAACCCTGGAAACCCTATAGGGCAGTTCTACTCTGTCCTATAGGGTCGCTATGAGTCGGAATCCACTCAGTGGCAATGGGTTTGGGTTTTGGTTCATGATGTGACATGCTAAAATATAGTTCCCCTCTGGAGCTTAGTTTTCCCAAATATCAGAGTATTGATCCAGTTCAGCTGTAAAGATATAAAACAGGAAAATCCTGAGAATTTCTGGCTCTTCCTTGATCAGAAGGTGTTACTGTTGTTTCAGTAGCCCCTGTGAAAAGTCCTCGTGTGACTTATAGACTCTACTCCCTCACCATATTGTGAGCTCCATAAGGAGCCCTGATGGTGTAGTGCCTAAGGCATGTGACTGCTAACCAGAAGGCTGGCAGTTCAAACCCATCAGCCACTCCTCGGAAGGAAAGACTGGGCAATCTACTTCCATGGAGATATCACCTCGGAAATTCAAGGAGTGGTTGCTAATGCCTCTATCCTAGATTTGCAACAGCTTTCACATTTATTATCTCATCTATTCCTCACAATAGATATAATGTTGTTGTTGTTGTTATGTGCTGTCGAGTCGGACCCGACTCAGAGCAACCCCTCCTTGGGTTTCCAAGGGAGTATCACTACGGAAGTAGACTGCCCCATCTTCCTTCCGAATAGATATAATAGTTACGCTCATTTTAAGGAGTGCTAGTGATGCAATAGTTAAGCACTGGGCTGTTAGCCCGAAGGTCAGCAGTACCAACCCAGCAGCAGCTCTGTGGGACAAAAGACTTGGCAATATGCTCCCATAAAGATTACAGCCTTAGGAATCCTTATAGGGCAGTTCTACTCTGTCCTATAGGGTTGTTGTTGTTGTCATTATGTGCCATCAAGTCGGACCCAATTCATAGCAACCCCTCCTTGGGTTGCTGAGGCAGTATCACTACGAAAGTAGATTGCCCCATCTTTCTTCCGAGGAGTGGCTGGTGGGTTTGAACCACCAGCCTTCTGGTTAGCAGTCAAGTGCCTTAGGTACTATGCTACCAGAGCTCCCTCCTATAGGGTTACTATGAGTCAGAATCAACTCAACAATAAGGAAACTGAGAAGATGAAGTGGCAGGATGAGAACCAAACTCTTCTCTCTTTTGGGATTTCTTCCCCATCCTTCAAAGCCCAAATCAAATGAAATAAAAGTATTCATGCCTTGACCAATGATAGCATATCATGAACCAAAAAGCCAAACTCATTGCCGTCGATTAATTGAAAAGAAAAAAAAAGTTCAAAAGTAACCCCTTCCTTTGGTGTCTTTCCTGACTTACCCGATCTCTCCGGTCTCCTGCTGTGATTTGTTGTTGTTGTTAGGTGCTGTTGAATCTGCTCCAACTCATAGCGACCCTATGTACAACAGAATGAAACACCACCCAGTCCTGTGCCAGCCTCACAATCCTTGAACCTGTCGTTGCAGCCATTGTATCAATCCATCTCATTGAGAGTCTTCCCCTTTTTTGCTCACCCTCCACTTTACCAAGCATGATGTCCTTCTCCAGGGAAAAGTCCCTTC